CTCTGTCTGAGTGTGAGCTCTCGTGTCGATCTGCTGGACTGAAACTGTTTGAAGTGAGGAATGAGGTCGGGACCCAAACGAATGTAAGCGCCTCTGTTACTGCCAACGTCATAGTAATTAGAGGCTGAAAATATCGTCAAAACCTGCAAATGCAAAGTAATCAACCCTTCAGATCACACCGTCAAACTCTACATGGATGGATGAGTGTAAATGGAGGGATGGCTCACCCTGCCGTTGTGGCAGAATTCATAACCTTCCTGCTTGCACTCATGAGATCTGATGAGCAGCTGCAGTTTGTGTGTGTCCAGCACTTTGTGTGTGACGTCCGGCCCCCAGTAACACCCGCCTCCTCGAACCTCGTTAGGGACACAACCGTTTTGAGACATCGGGTCACTCCACAGAACGTCCACTATCTGCAGAGTGTGTGTGTGAGACAAACTGCACTTCAACTCTTGAGTGCACATGATGTCTTAATACTCAAGGACAACACCTCAGGTCATATTTACACGCTACATATTCTGACTGAGAAAAGTGCTGTCTTTTTGGACATGAATCTAAAGCATGGAGGGAAATGTGTTCTGCTTAAGCACAACATTATTCACTGTCGGCATCAGAGATAAGCAGCTTTGGTCTTAAAGGTCCCTCAACGCTGCACATTTTGAATGCCTTAGGAATGTCAGAGCAATTTGATTACGGCAAATGACAACACAAGCCAAACACGATTACATCACACATTAAATAATTCTAAACAACAACAACACATGCTGTCTGGTCCTTAGAGCACAGTAGACTACCTACACACTCCAGCAAAAAAGTGCCATGTTATTTCCATGGTGTAGTTGATTTTATTCCATGGGAAAGCTGGAGTATTCTTTGAAGTAAATTATGGTAGTCACTCAGTACCACTGTATATATTAAAGTACCGTGATATTTCTGATACATCCCTTTACCATGGTATTGCCACAGTAGTTTTTTCTAAGGTTTCTTAATTGTTTGGTCAAACTGCGATGAGACAGTTGTGTGTGTGTGTGTGTGTTTTCACTGTCATGATGCTCCAGTGAAGTTCAGTGGGTTTGTGTTTTCACCTGTTTCCATTCATTAGTGTCTGTCTCCAGAACCTCAGCAGGATCTGAGTCGGACGACAGACTGAGGCCTGCCAGGCGGCGTCTCTCTCGCAGCTCCTCCTCGACGGAGCGGCTCGTCCGGCTGGACTCGGAGTGCACCGAATGCCGCGGCAGCTCCTGTCTGAGTCGCAGCGGTGTGCCGTGAGTCAGAGACTGAACTCTCCTCCGACCCGTGCTGAGCTCGTCATCTCCGTCTGGGTCGAGAGCCGCTTCCTTCAGCCTCGCCGATGCTCCACTACTCTTCAGGGGCCTGAGAGCCGAAACGAACTGAGGGGAAACAGCCCAGAAGAGAACGACTGACACACATGAAACACAACACCCTCCACTGAATCTCATGCGATTGCTGAAGAGTAACGTACTCGGTGACGGTCCAGTTTGGCGATCACATTCAAGTCTGTCTTGTCAGAAATTCCTCCGTGTAGAATCAGAACTTTCTGGTCGATCACTGTGGCCAGCGGCAACCAGCTGAAGATCTTCTGCAGAAGTTTAAGAATCATTTTCCCATGAACCTGTGATGATATCAGAGAAAAGCACTCAGTATCGCTCTTTCATGTCATGAAGATGACTGTTTGTGTTTGGAGTCATTTACCGCGAGTTCTTTCATCAAATAAAACAAGTGAAGATGTTAATATAGTTATTCTAGATGTGAACGGGCCATTACTGTCATTACTCTCTACATGTGTCTTGTTTTCTGTCAGCTCTGCACAACAGATCGAGAGTTCAGTTAACTGCATTGTTCCTGATCTTGTTATCTTGTAATTGTGTTTGTCCTGTCTGTTTAACATAGAAGGATTAAGTCAAATGGTATTAATGGCTAAAATACACTGTGTGGACAAAACTATCGTTAGATCTGTCCAACAGGGGCTTTAATGATATTGCATTCTAAATACATAGACATTAAAAAGAAGTTGGTCCCACTTTACAGCTATAAAAGCTTCCACCCTTTTGGGAAGGCTTTTTTCTGTTAGAGTCGAGCGTTTGTGAGGTCAGGCACTGATGTTGTACGAGAAGGCCTGGCTCTGTTCCAGTTCATCCCAAAGGTGGTTAGGTCAGGGTTCTGTGTGGGCCAGTCATGTTCTTCCACACCAAATTCGTCCAAACATGTCTTTATGTGCTTTCTGCACTGGGTCACAGTCATGCTGGAATAGAAAAGGGCCTTCCCCATACTGATCACACAAAGCTGGAAGCATTGCATTGGCCAAAATATCCTGGTATGCTGAAGTGTTAAGATTTCCCTTCGCTGGAAGTAAGGTGCCAAGCCCAACCCCTGAAAACCAGCCCCATTCCATTATCCCTCCTCCACCAAACTCTTCAGTCAGCACAGTGCAGACCGGCAGGTCATGTTCTCCTGGCATCTGCCAAACCCAGACGCGCCCATCGGACCAAAAAGAGAAGCGTGACAGAACAAGTTTCCACTGCTCCAGAGTCTAGTGTTGGCTGCTTTACTCCACTCAGGCATTGCTATTGGTGATGTGAGGCTCGCATGCAGCTGCCAGGCCATGGAAACCCATTCCATAAAGCTCCTGCCGCACAGTTTTTGTGCTGATATTGATGTCAGTGGAAGTTTGGAGCTCTTCAGTTATGGAATCAGCAGAGCATTGGCGACTTTTAAGCACCTACTCCTCAGCGCTCGGTGACCTACTCTGTGACTTTATGCAGCCTTTAGAGACGTAACAATTCACTCAACTTTTCAACAAGATGAAAAGAAAATACCATCTAAACTTTACTAAAGACAGTCAGTTCCCCTCAGAGATACATTCATATAAACTCCTAACGCCAGTTGTATCGCAATTCGTTTAACATCTCAAGCGACTTGAATCATCACATATTTGTACAAATTTTCAAGCGGCTTGCGGTGCATCGTTACATCCCTAGTGGTCTTCTTGCTGCTGTTCCTAAATGCTTCCATTTTCCAGTAATACCACTTACAGTTGACTGTGGAATATCACAAACTGGCGTATTGCAAAGGTGGCGTTCTATCACAGTATCAATGTGTGGTAGGTGTAGCGAAATCCACTTTGTCTACGTGATTGGTGGATTCGCTCATGGGCTGCCCTATCCGCAGCCAGTGGGAGGGTATATAGGCTGTTTGGCTTGACTGAATGGGGTCTCGATTTCGTTTGTTGCCTTGTGTCATCTTTAGTTGACAGTCAGAGCAGCACGCCAACGAGGTTCGGTGGCTGGCATTTTGAGGGAGGTTGCCCTTCAGCAGGTAAGCATTAAACCTCTACAGTTGCATTTACCAGTACTCGCTCGTATTGAATGGGTATTGTGTATTATTTACAGTTAGCGGATCGGGCTAGACTGGTTAGTACAGCTGCTACAGAGGCCAGGCCAGTAGTTGGCGATGCCACTTTCTAAAGAAACACTACAGGAACGAAACACAACCCCAGTACATTGTTGTCTTGTAAATGTTATGTAAACAGCCCATCAGTCCTTTACTCCACTCAGGCATTGCTATTGGTGATGTGAGGCTCGCATGCAGCTGCCAGGCCATGGAAACCCATTCCATAAAGCTCCTGCCGCACAGTTTTTGTGCTGATATTGATGTCAGTGGAAGTTTGGAGCTCTTCAGTTATGGAATCAGCAGAGCATTGGCGACTTTTAAGCACCTACTCCTCAGCGCTCGGTGACCTACTCTGTGACTTTATGCAGCCTTTAGAGACGTAACAATTCACTCAACTTTTCAACAAGATGAAAAGAAAATACCATCTAAACTTTACTAAAGACAGTCAGTTCCCCTCAGAGATACATTCATATAAACTCCTAACGCCAGTTGTATCGCAATTCGTTTAACATCTCAAGCGACTTGAATCATCACATATTTGTACAAATTTTCAAGCGGCTTGCGGTGCATCGTTACATCCCTAGTGGTCTTCTTGCTGCTGTTCCTAAATGCTTCCATTTTCCAGTAATACCACTTACAGTTGACTGTGGAATATCACAAACTGGCGTATTGCAAAGGTGGCGTTCTATCACAGTATCAATGTGTGGTAGGTGTAGCGAAATCCACTTTGTCTACGTGATTGGTGGATTCGCTCATGGGCTGCCCTATCCGCAGCCAGTGGGAGGGTATATAGGCTGTTTGGCTTGACTGAATGGGGTCTCGATTTCGTTTGTTGCCTTGTGTCATCTTTAGTTGACAGTCAGAGCAGCACGCCAACGAGGTTCGGTGGCTGGCATTTTGAGGGAGGTTGCCCTTCAGCAGGTAAGCATTAAACCTCTACAGTTGCATTTACCAGTACTCGCTCGTATTGAATGGGTATTGTGTATTATTTACAGTTAGCGGATCGGGCTAGACTGGTTAGTACAGCTGCTACAGAGGCCAGGCCAGTAGTTGGCGATGCCACTTTCTAAAGAAACACTACAGGAACGAAACACAACCCCAGTACATTGTTGTCTTGTAAATGTTATGTAAACAGCCCATCAGTCTGGAGTCCAAAAGTTTACAATAACCAAAGAGAGTGCATGTAACACGGAAATAATCTACTAAACAATGTTTGAATGGAGTATGTATGGTAAGCAGTCAGAGTTGAATTAACTACCATAAAGGGATTTCATGACCATTCTTATTTGCTAATGCAGACAAACCTTCTGTGAATGTGTGACAGATGAGTGGAAGGTATAAATCCTCTTAAGAGTAGGGGTGTTCAATCCTGCTGGAGGGCTGCAGAGTTTAGCTCTAATCCTAATTAAACGCATCCAAACCAGATAATGAAGTTTGGGACCAGTTGGAGCTAAACTCTGCTGGACTTTGGTCCTCCAGGAGCAGGATTGGATGCCCTGCCTTAGAGACGCATGGTGGATGGCTAGCTCACCTGATATTTCCCCAGAACTTCCTTAGTGAAGCCATACCTGCATGAAAAAAGATTTTCCATTTTAAAATGTAAATTCAGTTCTGTCAGATCCATTTCTGTCTGAAATTGTTCCTCACAAATGCAAATGTAGGTGATTGATTCAATTTGATCCATAACATCTCCACCTCAGATTAACAATGTGGTCCTCATGGTTTCCTCTGTTCAGATGCACGTCATGCGGATACAGCAACAGGAACGCAAACAGAACCAACAGGATCTCTATGGACTCTTTCCCTCTGTCCACGAAATCACCGTTGAAGACATATGGCGTCTCCGCTGAGGGAAAACCATTCTAGTATAGAACAAAAATCAGTTACTGGCACATTCAAATTCAGTGAACTGTGGATAACAGAATTTTACTGACTTTGTAAAAGATCAAGAGCAGATCCTCAAGATGGCCGTGTAAGTCTCCTGCATGAGTAGCAAAGAATTAAATTGCACTTTAATGGCACGTCACACCGTAAGACAGCTTGAGAATGAGGAGTGAATGTGTTACTCGCCACAGATGGTGATCTCTTTGTGTTTGCAGGTGCACACGTGACTGATGTTGGGCATCAAGCGCAGGAGCGTCCACGTCTTACCCAGCAGCTGCAGCACGTACCGCGCATGAAGCTTCTGCAGAGAGAGATCTGCACTTAAACATACGCAATCCTACAGCTTTCATTGACCGATGAGAGAGATGGATTAATTCACTGATTTTGTAATGTACATAAAGCTATTTTGCTGCTTTGATAGAAATGATCATACTTGTTTGTTTTTGAATGCGTGCACCAGCTCTGTGACGCTGGAGATGGTCAGTGGGAAGGAGAGATGCGGGCCGGTGTAGATGTCCAGAACCTCAATCTCCTTGTAACAGACGTGTCTCTCCCACTCCATGTCCTGAAACACGTCACTCTCGCCAAACATATGAGATACGAGATTCCCTGAGGGAGACAGATGCAGAGAGGGCCAGTGTGAATCTGTTTAGTTACACTGATCACTTCATGAGATGAGACACAGTTGAAGAACTTGAGTTTCTTACTTTGGCTGTTGGCAGAACTGAAATGATCCATCAGGTAACCGAAGAAATTATACAGCTGCAGAGGCACAAACAGCATGAGCGTGTTTCATGTGTAAAGATCAAAAAGAGGCAGGAAACCAATATTAACCAGACTGCAATAACAGGCCTCAGATGTCAAGTCTCCGTGACTGTAAGTCTGTGCTTCATTACTGCTGGAGAGACATCAGTGTTGTTTCACCTTGATATGATCCTGTTGTCCAGAATACTCTATAGACTGAAAGATGTTCCAGGTGCAGCGGCGTCTCATCTCCAGCCGCGCCACATACTGACGATACCAGCGCTGGATGAGCAGCGCCGCCCGCATCGCTAGACAGAGAGTCAGACAGAGAGACGAGAGGCAGACAGACAGACAGAGACGAGAGAAAGTCAGGCCAGCAGGAGACATGAGTGACAGTGAAGTTTCTTTAGACTCACAGAAACATGTGATCTGTCTGACCTGTAGCCGCTGCATGTGAGAGAAACAGAGAAAAACAGTGTTTGATGTTCATTCGCACCCACTGACAACAATGAGACATTTACTGAAATAAATTAGGAGGAATTACCTGGAACTGAGATGTTCCCTATAGACAGACACGATCGATAGAGACACAGACATAGAGCAATGTGAGCTGTATTTCTCTCAGGAGAGTCATTTAATGGCAGATATTCTGTTCGAAGCACTGAATCTTTGAACAGTGTCAAACTTTAATCATCTTGTTGGTTCACGCACCTCGATTGCATGGTTTCAGCTGCAGTTGGGTTGATTTCGTGACTCCGCATCCCATGTCACGTCTGTCAGCTGGAAGTACATGTATCAAATCAGACATTTTTCACACCTATGAACTCATTCCTGTTTCTGATTCTGGTAAATGTCACAACACTTGTAATCTGAATTTCACTTTCAAATAATTTTAAATAATTCCCATCACATCAATGAAAATCTGAAATAATCTGTCCATCCTCTTATTTCCTCAAGGGGTTTGATTAATTAGTAATAAAAAATAAAATTCTCACTCTCTAACCTGTTGTACAGAGTAATTTAACTTTAATTCTACACCTCCAGCCACAGCGTTTTACAAAACAGCAACAGAACACCACACTCACCTGGTGAGGGTTTGTCAAAATTCCTCCATGACAGCAGAGCCTATGAAGCCACCAGCAGCACAATCACTGTTATGAAGTGTGACAAACTTCACTATCAATGAACCTGGAACACTGGCGCAGAGAGACAGATGGTGAGATGGAGCTGATCCGCGTGACCACTTCATCAAAACAACACGCTGCAGCTGGATTAGGGTTAATACTGCGGCTCGGCTTCAACCCAGAATAGACAGATAAAGAGGTGCTAAAGGCCACCGGGGCTCCGTGTGTTTAAGCCCGTCGCTCTGCTGTTCATAGCTGAAATCTGATTAACAGAACGCTGAACCCAGCCACAGCACTTAATGGATTTGAAAATGAAACTTTAATTTATTTTTAAATGTTTAATTGGAAAACAGAACAGTTCTCCCCATTCATCGCTGGTGTATTTAAAAGGCTTTAGAATAAAAACAACTGAATTCTACCAGATTTGATCTTTTCAGAGTTAGCTATTCAAATCATAAGTGTATAAATGTACTGTGATAGGATTGAAATAATGCGGCACACTATAAGTACATATTCAGAATTGGGTCAAAAGTGTATTGGTTTTGACCAATATGTGAATATGGTTAGGGTTACACCAGAAAACACCATTTCTTGGCAGTTCGGCAGTGAATGAAACAACATTATAAGTTGTCCTCAAATGGCAAATAAACTGTTGTTTCTTTCTTTATATTGCCGTTCACACGCAAGTGTTGGACTTCCTCTTGATGCAAGGGAGTTGCAGCTTGATGGCCTCAAGGACAAACACGGGCAGCGCTCTTTGGTTCGGTTAATCTGAGGTCAGAAGAGAAACTACAGATGCTACAACAATGCCCAGCTTTGTATTTCTCATGAGAAATGATGGAAAATTAAAAACTTCACATCTCTTCTATATGAACTCAAAGACAGCGAGGAAACATTAATTCAAAGACAAAATGTTGAATGTATATGGCCAGACAGAGAGATAGACAGACAGCTTCAGCTCGACGCTATTTAATATCTATATTAATTAATTGGCATTGGCATGTGATAAGATCTCTTGTCCTGGTCTGATCCTCGAGGGCAGAGAAATCAAATGCCTCCTGTTTTAGGAGTATCATAGTACTGAGACTGCTCTCATTAGAGTTACAAATGACCTGCTCTTATCATCTGATCGTGGTTGTATCTCTCTATAAGTGCTATAGGATCTTACTGCTGCGTTCGACACTATTGACCACAACATTCTTTTGAATAGACTAGAAAACTATGTTGGCATTAATGGAAGTGCATTAGCATGGTTCAAATCGTACTTATCTGACTGCCATCAATTCGTAGCAGTGAATGAAGAGGTACCATATCGATCACAAGTGCAGTATGGAGTACCTCAAGGCTCAGTACTAGGGCCGTTACTCTTCACGCTTTATATGTTACCCTTGGGAGATATCATCAGGAAACACAGTGTTAGCTTTCACTGTTATGCTGATGATACTCAGCTCTATATTTCTTCGCGGCCCGGCGAAACGTACCAATTTGTAAAACGAATGGAATGCATAGTCGATATAAAAAACTGGATGATGAGTAATTTCTTACTGCTAAATTCTGAAAAAACAGAGGTGTTAATTATCGGACCTAAAACCTCTGCATGTAATAACCTAGAACACTGTCTAACACTTGATGGCTGCTCTGTCAATTCCTCGTCATCAGTTAGGAACCTAGGTGTGCTATTTGATAGCAATCTTTCCTTAGAAAGCCACGTTTCTAGCATTTGTAAAACTGCATTTTTCCATCTCAAAAATATATCTAAATTATGACCTATTCTCTCAATGTCAAATGCAGAAATGTTAATCCATGCGTTTATGACCTCAAGGTTAGATTATTGTAATGCTTTATTGGGTGGTTGTTCTACATGCTTTGTAAACAAACTCCAGCTGGGCCAAAATGCAGCAGCTAGAGTTCTTACTAGAACCAAGAAGTATGACCATATTAGCCTGGTTCTGTCAACACTGCACTGACTCCCTATTAAACATCCTATAGATTTTAAAATCTTGCTTATTACTTTTAAGCCCTGAATGGTTTAGCACCTCAGTAGTTTGACCGAGCTCTTAATGCATTATAGTCCTCCACGTCCGCTGCATTCTCAAAACTCTGGCCATTTGATAATACCTAGAATATCAGAATCAACTGCGGGCGGCAGATCCTTCTCCTTTTTAGCGCCCAAACTCTGGAATAACCTACCTAACATTGTTCGGGAGGCAGACACACTCTGTCAGTTTAAATCTAGATTAAAGACCCATCTCTTTAACCTGGCTTACACATAACACACTAACACATTTCTAATATTCAAATACGTTAAATAATATTTAGGCAGCATTAATTAGGACAACCGGAACCGGGAACACTTCCCATAACACCCGATGTACTTGCTACATCACTAGAAGAATGGCATCTACGCTAATATTAGTCTGTTTCTCTCTTATTCCGAGGTCACCGTAGCCACCAGATCCAGTCTGTATCCAGATCAGATGGTGGATCAGCACCCAGAGATGACCTCTACAGCCCTGAATGTCAGCGGAGACCAGGACAACTACCTTGCCTCAGACGACCACCGGAACAAGACCACAGGAACCAGATGAGTCCTCTGCACAATCTGTCTCTGCTGCAGCCTGGAACTGAACTGCTGGTTCGTCTGGCCAGAGGAGAACTGGCCCCCGACTGAGCCTGGTTTCTCCCAAGGTTTTTTCTCCATTCTGTCACCGATGGAATTTTGGTTCCTCTGGCTTGCTTAGTTGGGGACACTTCATTTCCAGCGATATCGTTGACTTGATTGCAAATGATTGCACAGATACTATTTAAACTGAACTGAGCTGGATGATGACATCACTGAATTCAATGATCAACTGCTTTTAACTGAAAATTGAGAGTTTACTATTGTCCTTCTGCAATTATTGACACACTCTTTTCCTAATTAATGCTGTACAGTTGCTTTGAGACAATCTGTATTGTTAAAAGTACTATATAAATAAAGGTGACTTGACTTGACTTGACTCCTGTTTGCCGATGACCTTCTGCTGCTGTCGCTCATGAAGAGGGACTGTGCCAAAGCCTCTCCATTCTGGAAACATACAGTAGCGACTGGGTCTTACCGATAAACATGGAGAAGTCTAAAATCATGATCTTTCAGAAAAAGCCTCGTCTTGCTGACAAAAAGTATAATTTTACAATTGGGGGAACAATTCTTAATCATGTCACCTGTTATAATTATTTGGGTCTGACAATCTCAGCCTCTGGACAGTTCAAAATTGCAATAAAATATCTGACGGATAAGGCATGCAAGGTTTTTTTATAGGATAAGAAAACCACTGTTAATATTCAACCCACCCATTAAACTGTGGCTGAAAATCTTCAATAGCATCATCAAACCCATTCTTCTGTGATATCTGGGGCCTCAAATTTAACCTAAAATAAAACCTTGCTGAAATTTTCCACCTTGAGTTCTGCAAAATCATCCTGGGGATTCACAGAAACGGCCGAAGTCTCGGCTGCAGGGCAGAACTTGGCAGATTCCCTCTGCTCTCTGAAATCCAGAAGAGAGCAGTGAAGTTCTGGTTCCAACACACTCAGACAGCTACATCATTCTGCTTTACTTACAGGCATAAACTCCCACAGAGTGACCCCATGCACTGTTCCGCTGAATCATCAATTCAATTCAACAATTTAGTGTAGATATTCAAAAGTTAAAGAAACAAACAATTAAATAAAAATAACCCAAGAAGACATCCATGATTGGCAGCACAAAGTAACTCAATTAAAAAATTAACATATTTTCACAAAATAAAGTCTGATTATAAATTGGCACCATACTTGAGCAGTATTTTTATATATATATATATATATATTTATTTATAGTATATATAGAGACTTTCGTCAGAGAGCTCAGACTGTGCTCACACTTTTGGACTCATAGAGGATGAGCTGCACTTTCCAGTTATCACTGCTCTCTGTAGTCATTCACCTTGTCATTTACTTTTTTTTTTAAAAATATTCTGTATATGTATAATGGACATGCATAGTTGCA